ATCAGACCCGCCAGACTTTCCCGCCCGCTCGCACTGCCCGCCCCCCCGCCCCCATTACTGTGATTCTGACCCTAATTTGGACGGTCTCTGACAACTGCCAGCCTCAATACAGGACTTCCTCCATCCTGGGTGAAATATAACTGTCCCTGATGGCCCCAGAGACTGAGCCCTTCTCAAACCCTTGATCTCACCCAGATGGAGGGACTGCAGAGTCACCTGTGTGACCCGCCATCTACAGGAGCGTGACAGACCCCCTCGGCTGCTGGGTGCCGTCCTCCACTTCAAAGGTCAGCTGAAGGGGGCCTCCAAGCCTGGGCACCAGCTCAGACCTCTAAATCCACATCTTCCCTGGGACCCTAGCACCGCCCAGCGCAGGGCCAGGCCCAGAGGGGTGAGTGAATCAATGTGAAAGAATTACAGGATGAGGAAAACGTTGGACGGGGTAAACCTGAAGAAGCCCCCAGTCTGGAGGAGGCAGAGCAGCCACCACACACCCCTCCAGCCCCGTGGGGGTTAGGATGTCAGGAAGCCTTCCCAGAAGAGGGGACATTTTTACTGGGCCTTGAAGCTGGAGTAGTAGTTTGCCACGGAGAGAAGAGTTTTCCACGAGGGAACAGCCCTTGTCAATGTGCAGAGGACGAGTACAGTGGTTTTTGGTGGGTGAGATAAGGAAGATGAAGCCAGAGCAAGAGTAGATGGGATTGGGAGCCCAAGGAGAGGCTGAGAGAGGGAGAGGAGGTGGTCAATTTAGGGCAAATGAAGTGGGGTGCAGGTGGGTTACATGGCTGCCTGGTGTCCACCTTCTCAGAAGACCACAGGAGATGGCTGCACCCCTGGACTCAGGGGTGAGCATGTGGAGATATTATGTGGAGGACACTAAGGCAGGGAACAGCTTCTGCTTCTTCCCATGCCTCGGTTTACCCATCTGTGACATGAGAATTTTGGACCCCTAGCCTGGGCACATATTCCTCGTTGGACATAAAATCTAGGGCTCACACTGTGTCATAAGGTAGGAGTCGAGGGTCCTGCTCCCTCCCCTGCCACCACTGCCCCTCAGTGTCCAATGCCAGACACTCAGGTGTTCCAAGGACACACCAGGGCCCAGGCCAGTCTGGGGGCTTCTGCCTCAACTCCAAGGTGCAGAACAAGGCTTGGGGAGCGTGGAGGTGGCTGGGGAGCCCCAGGCCCCCCGAGGGCCACTCTGTTTACCTGCTGCGGCCTGCCATCTCTGATGCAACAGGCAGGCTCTGGTTACATAAGGGCAGCAGCTGGAGCAGCTCTGGGAGCAGCTGGGGCATGGCAGGAAGGGCGGGCCGAGCTGAGGTGGCTGGGGCTGCCCCTGTACCCCCACCTACCTCCTGCCCTCTCCCGTCATTGAGGCTCCCTCCTGTGTTCCTGGCCCCATTTCATCTTCTATCACTCACACCCTATTTTCTATAACGGCCCTTCCTTTTCTCCCGTGCCCCTGTTCCTATCCTATACTCTCCCACCACTGGTTGTGTCACTTTGTGGGCCCCGTCCCCCATTGGTTATATATATAGGAGATATATATAGGGGAGATATATATATATATATTTCAGAGAGGAAGGGAGAGGGAGAGAGAAAGATAGAAACATCAATATGAGAGAGTATCATTGACCGGCTGCCTCCTGCACAGCCCCTACTAGGGATCGAGCCCGTAAACTGGGCAAGTGCCCTTGACCAGAATCGAACCTGGGACCCTTCAGTCCACAGGCCGGCGCTCTATCCACTGAGCCAAACCAGCCAGGGTGGGACAGTCAAAATTTTTTATCTCAGTCTTTTCAGATGAGGGGACACCTTAGTTGCTGGAGTAAGATGCTGGACTGTAGAGGGGTGGGTTGGGGGTGGAAGGGGGTGGAAAGGGCCAGAGATGAGGGATCTGAGAAGGGGGCCTGAAGATGGGGAGACGGGTGGGAGGGTGGTGAGGTGGAAAAGCCGCTTCCCCCAAGCCCCTTTTTCAGATCCTCTCCCACATGTCAGCAGGGGAAGGCTGTGAAGGACTCTCCATGGCAAGGACAGTGTGGTCCGGCGGACAGAACCTCAGGTTAAAGAACCCTGGTCCCCATCCCAGCTCCAATGTCCTCTCACTGTGACTTCACGTCAGTCACTTCACCCTTTTGAGCTTGTTTGTTCGTATGAAAAGTGGGGACAATAGCAGCCCCTCCTTCTTGGGGAGAACCTTTTAAGGCTTACCTTCCCACTCCTCCAAAAGCTTCCTATATCCCCCCTCCCATTTGGGATTCTTCCACACCCATTCCTCGTTCCAGTCCAGTGCTGACTCAGTGGTTTTGGGATGTATGTTTAGCTCTGTCTCACCAGCCTAGGGGTTCCTCGGGGCCAGGCCCAGTATGCAACAGCACCAAAGGGTGTCTCCACAGGTTTCTTAAACCACTGGAGAGCCCGGGAGAAGGTATGAGTGGTGGAGGGGCATGGGGACCAAGTTTGGGACATCCAGAGGCCTCACTGAGAGATATGACAAGGCTAGGAAGGGACTTCCCAGGGGCAGGACCTCAGAGCAGGGCTGAAATAAAACCATGATTTGGACCAGGCGAGAAGGACTAAAAGCCAAACTCAAGTCTGATTCCCGCCTTGACCACTGCAGACCAACCTGGGGCATTGCTGCCTTCCTGGGCCTTTTATCCACCTGCAGATCTGAAGGAGCCTCGGGTGGGGCGGGAGTGGGCTGGGGTCCCTTCCATCACCCTCATGGGTGCTGGACTCCTGCCCCAAGGCATGGGGAGCTCACTGCCTCTCCCTCAGCTGTCCACCTATCTCTGGGGCTCTGCTAGAAGCAAGTCCTACTGAGCAGGAAGGCCACACCAGGAGGAGGGGAGATCAGGAGCGCGTGGGGGCAGATGGGGGATCCTGCTGAGTAGTCCAGCCTCAAGGAGCCTCAGCTCGCTCTCTGAAAAATGGAATCGAGGACGTATGGGGTAAAAAGGGGTAAGGGTCACAATGCCCCCACTGCGATCAGCCAGGAATGAGGACAATGACCTTTTAGAGGCCGAGTGCCCAGCCAAACCTTTGCTTCTTGCGCCCCCTGGTGGCCAGCTGTTAAGGGGCGTTTGTGGGTGTGAAGGGCGAAGTGGCCATGTAAATAAGATGCAAATTACCAGCACCCACTCCTTCCTGTGGGCCTTTGGACTCCGTGTGAGGGATCTGACAGTCCAGAATCGTCTCTGGCTAAGGTTGTGTCCTGGGGCTGTGGGTGGTGGGGAACCCTGGAAAGGTCTGGGGCACCCCACAGCTGTTTCCTACTACCTCACAGCCGCCTTGGGGTAGGTGTAGTTACCTCACTTAGCGGCCTTTCTTGCTGGCCTGTCTTGCTCACCAGGGCATCCCCTGGGCTGGCAGGGCCTGGCGCACAGAGGACAGTCAATATTTGCTGGACAAATGATTGCATGGTGGACAGGTAGATGGAGGGACAGACAATTACAGGTACTTTCAGAGCAGGCAAGAAGAGTGATGCTGTGGGGACCACACACTAGTCAGGGCCTCAATGGGTTGGACCTGAGGTCCCTCCTTCCCCTCAAACTGAGCTGGGGTGGTGGGGAGGCAGAATAGCAGCATGAAGGCCCCCTAATACACTCTAGGGACTGACTCCCATTTCCTGGCAGTGGGAGGTGGTACTTCCTTGACACCTCCTGTGTCCTTAAACCCTCCCAGGCCCTCAGGCTCCTCAGGCTCCTCCACAGCCCTGACACACCAGGACCCTGTTTCTCCCCTAGGTTGCCCCTGGCCCTGGCCACCCTCCCACAGTGCCAAGGGGAATGTGGAGGGTCCTCCCAGAGCAGCGGGCCTGATGTATCTCCCTGATACATTTTGCTGGACACTGTGTTGACACAGCTGGCTCGGAGGTGTACAGACTATGGGTCATGACCTCCTAAGCCTAGAATTCGAAGAGATCAGTATAGGCTCTTCTGCAGTTAGCAGAAAGACTCAAAGCAATTTTGGCAAATACAGTAACTGAGGGTACAGCTGGACACGGTCAGGTACAGCTGGACTCAGGGTCCCAGGGTGACTTCTCCATCTGGCCTACGCCCGGGGTAGGTGTTTCTGCTTGAGGCAGAATGCCGGCCAGGCAAGCAAGTACACGAATGTCCACCTCAGCTGTAGAAAAGGTCCAGTCCGGCCTTCCTTGTCCAGATGGAGAAAGGGAGGACGAGAGAGGGTCATTCTAGGCCCCATGTCACACAGCATGTCAGAGGCAAGGCTGGGACGAAACCAGGCAGGGGTCTGGTCTCCTGTAGCTGTGTGGCCTTGCCCAAGTCACACCACCTGCATTTATTTCCATCTGTATCTGAGGGTGACACCTACCTATGGGGCTGAGGATGAGAGATGACCACTGCAGGGCCCCCAGCACAGTGTAATCTATGGGGATTAACACGGTGGCAGTTATTGGTCCAAGGAAACAGGGCTGATGCGGGGTAGGACTCCCCGGCAGCAAAGCCTTGTCTCCAGACATTACGGCTGGCCTGGGGGTTACAGGCAGGAGCGGGAAAACTGCCACCTCTGCCACCTGATGAGTCACTTCCAAGAAGGAAAAGCAGAGACCAGAGAGGGGGAGTGACTTGCTCAGGGTCACACAGCAGGTCAGTGGTGGAGCGAGGAGTCCAGAGTTGGGTGGTAATCGCCATGCCGGGCTCTGTCTGAGAGAAGGTACGTAAGTAAGGCAAGCAGCTGGCATGCGGCAGCTGGGAAATATGGATCCACTCTGTTTAGGAGGAGTCCCTGGGATCAGGACAGGGCCTATGACCTGAATAAGGGCAGGAAGATGGCAGAGGGAGCACGAGGGAGAGGGGCTGACAATGACCCTGAGCAGCAGAGGCCCTAGGTCTCCCTCACCCTGCATCCCCCCCACTGACCAAACCACCCTACAAGCCCGTGGTTAGATGGTAAATCCCTTCTTGGACAACAAAAGGGTGGGTTAGTTCAGAGCATGGAACGCAGGAAGGCTCCTGGCCCCACTCAGCACTGACCTGGTTGGAGGGGCCAAAGCACCTCCAAGTCTCTTCTGGGATCAGGCCGAGGAGGGCAGGGGCAACTCCTCGGGGCTGGAATAAAACATGCGCAGTGTTCGTGAGACCAGAGTCAGAGGCCTGCTCAGCTAGGTTGGACTGTGCATAGGGTCACCCTCCCAAGACCCCTGGCCTGAGCCTTCAGGGCATCCTTGGTAAAAATGGGACCAGCCACCTACTTCAGAGGTCATGGCTGGGACGCATGCATGTCTGGGAACTTCAAACCCACAGGCCTTGCAAAGAGAGATGTTAGCAGCAGCGTGGAGCTTTCAGAAAAGCATTTTGCATTTTCACGACAGCAGGGACAAGCAGGGCATTTGAAAGCACTTGGAAAACCACGAGTTCAAAGTAAAAGCTATAGCTTTTTGAGGCCCTACTGAGTGCAGGGCGCTGTGCAAGGCCCTTTACAGTCAACTCTAGTGATGGCTGTCACCAATAGCAGCAGAACAGCAAACCCAGGTAAACCCTAGCATGCTGCCTCAGAAGGATTGCTGCACATCCGTTTTACACATTCACCAGGCTTCTGTTTGAATGATTCTCACGTTTTAGTTATCCGACACAGCAACACAGAGGTTTTCTTTTTTCTAAATATCTCATGTGGGACAGGCAGGCCAGAACCCCAAACTACGGGAGCCAGACACATCTCAAAGTAGAGTTATGGCTTACAGCGTGTGTGTATGTGTGTGTTCAAACGCATATTTATTAAGTTATGAAAAACAAAAAGAACTCCTTCCCCAAAAACTCTCCTCAGTGTGCAAGGACTGTAGTGCTTTTCATGTTTATGCCATTTGTCTTCAGCTCAAAGCTTCCCCCAGCTCTGGGCAGCCTCCCTGCTGGCTGCCTACCTCCCTGACCCCATCTCCCCTCGTTCACCTGCTCCAGCCACACCGTCCTCTAGATGTTCCTCCAACACACCTAGTGCCCAGCCCCAGGGCCTTGTCCTACCACTGCCCTGCCTGCAACACCATGCCCAGTCATTTCTGCCAGCAAATCTTTCAGGCCTCCGCTCCCACTTCCTCCGACTCATCAGACGCCCCATATTCCCTTTTTTCCTTTGGACACTTCTGAAGTCTCTGGTCCGTTCCGTGTGTACCTGGTTGCTGTGTCTCCCTGTGAAACCATAGCAGACCTGTCCTGGTCACCTCTCTGTCCCCAGGACCAGCCCAGGACCAGGCACACAGCAGAGCTCAGGATCTGGGTACTGAGTGACTGCACTCTCCTGCCACAGACACCAAAGGACAAGAGGAAGGCAGCAGGCATTGAGAGATGAGGAGAGAGGAAGCTGTCCAAGGAGCGAGAGCGGCAGTTCCTGGCTGAGTGGCGAAGGTCCTTCCGGCAAGGAGGCGGAGACAGCAGGGGTGGGTGGTCCTGGGAGCTACCTGTGGCCCTGGGTGGCATTCATGTGGTCCCGGATGCTGATGGCCTGTTTGAGGAGGCCCTCCACACTGCGGAAGTAGACGCTGCTGTCGACAAGGTTCTTCACGGCACTATAAAGGGAAGACAGACCCAGTGGGCACCACCCTGCCGCACCCACCAACTGGAGCTCAGCAGGTCCCTGGGGGACTCTGGGGGCCTCCATGGGGGCTCGTCAGGAGCTCAAAGTTTAGATTCCCTGCCAAGACGCGAGGGGCCTTGCGAATGCCAGAAAGTCATCTGTGCAACATCTGCATAGAAAGAAGAGTGTCCTATTGTGTGGTTTTATTTTGTTTGTTGTTAAATAAACAAAAAAATAAATATTCTCACCTGAGAATATTTTTTCCATTGATATTTAGAGAGAGTGGAAGGGAGGGAAGGAGGAGGGAAGGAGGGGGGAAGAAGAGAGAAAGAGAGAGAGAGAGAGAGAGAGAGAGAGAGAGAGAGAGAGAGAGAGACATGGATGTGAGAGAGACACATCGATCAGTTGCCTCCCATACACATGGAGACCAGGGCTGGGGATTGAACCCACAACCCAGATAGGTGTCCTTGTCCAGGAATTGAACCCCTAACCCTTCGTTTCAAGGGCTGATGCTCCAACTGCTGAGCCACACTGACCAGAAATAAAAGTGTGGTTTCCTTTTGTTTTTGTTTTTTTTTAAATATATTTTATTGATTTTTTACAGAGAGGAAGGAAGAGAGATAGAGAGTTAGAAACATCGATGAGGGAGAAACATCGATCAGCCGCCTCCTGCACATCTCCCACTGGGGATGTGCCCGCAACCAAGGTACATGCCCTTGACCGGAATCGAACCTGGGACCCTTGAGTCCGCAGGCCGACGCTCTATCCACTGAGCCAAACCGGTTTGGCTCCTTTTGTTAAAGAAAAAAAAAATCACTTCTATTTATTATCAGAGACCTGCTTGAAAATGGCCACGAGATGAAGGGGAGGAGCGTTCACTGTTTCTCACTCTAACTTGTTCATCTTATGCCACCAAGTGTAGTCAGCTTTTCTAGTATTTGATTGCCCAACTTGATTTAAAAACTCACAATAAAACATGAAAATAAAGAAATGAAAAAAGAAAAAAACTTCACTAACATAAGCTCACTATTAAATAGTTTACCCCAATTTAACATCTTTCAATTTTACACCAACCATTAACACTGCATAAAGCATTTCAAATAACTAAAAGCCAAGGGCTCACCCTGGCCAGTGTGGCACAGCTGGTTGAGCGTCGTCCCATGCACTGAAAGGTTGCTGGTTCGATTCCCAGTCAGGGCACATGACCAGGTTGCAGGTTCAATCCCTGGTCTGGGCGCATATGGGAGGCAACCGATCAATGTTTATCTCTCTGTCTCTCTCCCTCTCCCTTCCTCTCCCTCTCTAAAATCAACAAGAACATATTTAAAAATAAATAAATAAATAAAAGCCAAGGGCTCTTTCATGTCCATAAAGCCATGGACCCCCATCCTCAGGAAGATGCCCTTAGTCCCGGGCACCCCCTGTCCCAGTGGAGGGACAGGACTGCTGATGGCAGAACACTCAGCTCAGTGGCCCCAGCAGCAGGACTTCCTTTCAAGGAACCTTCACCCACACAGCAGAAGCAGGCAAGCAAACCCCACAGTGCCACGATGAGAAATGGTGGGAGTGTCCAGCCTCCACCAAATGACCCACAGGCCATGCCAGGTGCAAACAGCACCTCTAAATAAAATGGCCAAACTCCTGAGGCACATGGAACAAGCCAGGGCATTAAATACAGTTCCAGAATCCAACAGAAGTGCAGGAGAGCCCTAACCGGTTTGGCTCAGTGCATAGAGCATTAGCCTGCGGACTCAAGGGTCCCAGGTTTGATTCCGGTCAAGGGCATGTACCTTGGTTGCAGGCACATCCCCAGTAAGGGGGTGTGCAGGAGGCAGCTGATCGATGTTTCTCTCTCATCGATGTTTCTAACTGTCTATCCCTCTCCCTTCCTCTCTGTAAAAAATCAATAAAATATATTAAAAAAAAAAAAAGAAGAAGTGCAGGAGAAAAGGCCAGCAGAGCTGCCATAACGCAAAAAAACACCAACTACCGTTTTTCACCCTCAGGCATCTTTCCCCTGGGGCAGAGGAGAGCATCTGAAGATTTAGAGAAAATTTAAACAACAAAAAAACAAAAACAGTCCGAGCTGGTTTGGCTCAGTAGATAGAGCACTGGACTGCGGACTGAAGGGTCCCAGGTTCGATTCCGTCAAGGGCACATGCCTGGGTTGAGGGCTCAATCCCTAGTTGGGGGCATGCAAGAGGCTGCCAGTCAATGATTCTCTCTCATCATTGATGTTTCTATCTCTCTCTCCCTCTCCCTTCCTCTCTGAAGTCAACAAAAATATACTTTAAAAAAACAACAAAAAACCCACAAATGGTACATCCACATTCACAGCAGTATTATTCACAATAGCTGAAACATGGAAGCAGCCCAGCCCTGGCCAGTATACTCAATTGGTTGGAGCATCATGCCGTTACCTGAAGGGTCATGGGTTTGATTCTTGATGGGGGCACATGCCCAGGTTGCAGGGTTCAGTCCCCAGTTGAGAGGCAACCAATCGATGTGCTTTTCTCTCAAATTGGTGTTTCTCTCTCTCCCTTCCTCTCTCTAAAATCAATAAATATATCCTCAGGTAAAGATTTAAAAAAAGAAAATTAAATAGAAAACAACAGCCCTGGCCATTTTGCTCAGCGGTTAGAGCGTCGGCCTGTGGACCCAAGGGGCAATGGGGGGGATAAGGACATATATGTAATACCTTAATCAATAAAGAAAAAAAGTAAAAAGGCAACAGAAAACAACTACAACAAACAAACAACAAACCATGGAAGCAACCCAAATGCCCACTGACAAATGAATGGATAAACAAAATGTGGAATTTTACTCAGCCTTAAAGAGGAAGAAAATTCCTTAAAGAGGAAGAAAACATACTATAACATGGACGAGCCTTGAGGACATTACTCTAAATCAAGGATGTCAAACTCCCACCGGCCAAGAGAGTTTGACATGTTTGCTCTAAATCAGTGGTTCTCAACCTTCTGGCCCTTTAAATACAGTTCCTCATGTTGTGACCCAACCATAAAATTATTTTCGTTGCTACCTCATAACTGTAATGTTGCTACTGTTATGAATCGTAATGTAAATATCTGATATGCAGGATGGTCTTAGGCGACCCCTGTGAAAGGGTCGTTTGACCGCCAAAGGGGTCTCGACCCACAGGTTGAGAACCGCTGCTCTAAATGAAGGAAGACAGGCACAAAAAGACAAATACTGTACGACTCTATTCATGTGAGGTCCCTAGAGTAGTCAAATTATAGAAACAGAAAATAGAATGGTGGGTGCCAGGGGCTGGGGGAGGAGGCTGGGAGTTAGTGTTTAATGGAAACAGGTTTCAGTTGTGCAAGATGAAAAGTTCTGGAGATGGATGGTGATGGTTGTATAACAATGTGAACGTACTGAATGCCATTGAACTACTTAGAAGTGGTTAAGATGACAAATCTTATGTTTCCCCAACCTTGTTACACCCTCCTATGATAGATGGGGAGGGGAAGAAGCCTGCCCGAGGCACACAGAGGTTGAGCAAACAGTGAGAAGCGCAGGCCTCGGCTAGAACCTGCTGTGTGGCCAGGGAAACTGAGACCCACATGCTTCCCCACTCAGGTGGGCTTGGCAAGACAGGGCTCACCAGGGAGCTGGCTGAGATGCTCCTGAATGCCCAGGCGGTGACCCCAATGCAGAGCCAGGTGATCCTGGCAATGGGGAGGCTGAGGTGCTCACCTACAGGCGTACTCCACTGTGTAGATGGCTCCCTGGCTCTGCTCCTCCCACCGTTGCATGTCGGCCTGTGGGGGTGGGGGTGTGGGGGGGGTGTTGTTAGGCAGGGGGAGGCTGCCACCTCTGTCATCCCAGCTCTCTGGAATGGACCACCCGGTCACCATGGCTTCAGAGACCGGCCCTCTCCAGCCCCCAACCTTTCTTCCTCCAACTCTCTTCCCTCACGAGTCCAGGCTTTCTGTGGACACCTAGCTGCTATGTTTTGGGACCTTTGCACCAACTGTCCCCTCTCCCTGGCATGCTCTTCCCTCTAGTCTTCACACAGCTGCCTCCTTCTCACCATACAGGTCACAATTCATCTAGGCCTGCTGCTCCTCCTTCCAAATCTGCCCCACATCTGTCCACCCACAGCCCCAGCCTGGCTCAGTGACTGCATGCCTCCTTGCTGTGTTCCAGCCTTGACTCATCCCAAGAGCCCCTGCTCTACCAGCAGGCCCCAGCTCACAATGTGCAGGCCCTGCAGGGGTTGGTGCAGGGGTGCATGGGGCTCACCTTGTGCTGGGCCAGTTCTGGCAGAGAGCGGCGCACATGCTCCTGGAGCCGGTAGAGGGCCACAGACGGCTCATTGGCCAGGACGTAGACGCTCTCGGTGAACTTGTCTGTGACTGGTTCCAGAATTGACAGTGGAAGGTGGCAAAATAAGGGAAAAGGGTGCACAGACACAAAGAAACAAAGCGTAAGACTCCTGATTGCTCAACCTCTGAGTCCAGCCAGAGCAGTGAGGAGTCTCTGGTGTCCCTCCAGCAGCTGGGTCACCTGTGGCCCAGGTGAGAGGTTGAAGGACATGGTCACAGATGGCCTCGTTCATATTATCAATGCATCCAGTGAACTCATGATCTTTCCCCTCCCAATTCTACTTGTAGTGGACACTGCGGCTGCCCTCTCGGAGCTCCTCGAATTCCTTGTACCCCAGTGAATAAATCTGAGATTCCTCCTAGAAGGATCCACTGGTTACTAGATCTGAAAGTGCCTGGAAGTTTATTTATATCCCTGGGTGGCCCTCAGCCATGACAGACCATGGAGGAGTACGAAAAGTCTGTGCCCCTTGCTGTGTGTTGGGACAACTGGGAGGTGTGACTCACTCCCCTAAAACCTCCTTGCCAAATCAGGCTGAGACCAACCTCTGAGGGATTTTACCTGAGGTTGCTCTTTGCTCAGCCTCCTCCCCAGCCCTGTTCTGCTCCCCCCTAGTCTGTGGGGCTCTCCTGGTAAGTTAATTACACACAAATCCTCATCCCAGGGTCTGCATTCCCAGTCAGCTGGTCATCCACGCCATCCATGAGGAGATCTTCTGGTTCTGACACAAAACAAAGCCCAACCTCACCCATGCTTATCACTGCACTGACCCCACTGGTCCAGGTATGGCCGCTTCCCACCTGGATGCCAGGCTCAGCCCCCCTCCTGCCAACAGTCCCATATGCACACAACAGATGGAGTGAACTCCTAGTGAACACATCAAATAAGACCCTCCCTTGCTTGGAAGCCTCCATGGCTCCCATCAGCCAGAGAATAAAATCTGCTTTCCTCACCATGGCCCCTAAGTTTCTGCCTTGGCAGGAGGGGCTGAGTCTGCCCAAAAGAACTTTCTGAGATGATTGAAAGGTTTTATAATCTATACTGTCCAATAAGGTAGCCACTCCTGGGCACCTGAAATGTGACTCAAAAACTGATTTTTTAACTTTAATTAATTTAAATACCCATAAATACTGTGACCAGTAGCTACTGTATTACAGCAAAGCTCTGAACACTTTGCCACCTCAGGGCCTCTGCCTGTGTTGTTCCTGCCACTAACACTACCCCTCCCCCCACCTCCACCCCCACCCCCAGCTTCATCCCTCATGTCTCAGCTGAAATGTCACCTCCTGGGCAAAGCCTTCCCTAATCACCAAGAATAAACACATGTCCCTCATTCCCAACCTCAGCACCCTGTTCGTTTCTCTTATACTTAAATTCTCGTTCTTTACTAAGTTACGTATTTATAGAAAAAAATATTAAAGCTTGGATTTGTGAGGACGGGGGCTTCTCTGAGCCTCAGTTCCTCATTTGTAAAAATGCAATAACAGTACCCACTCTCAAGGTTTGCTACAGAGATGATCCTATGCTACTGTCCAGGGCAGTGTGGTTGGCAAGAGAGAACGCTGGCATGTCTGGGAATCAAAGGACGTTGTGCATTAGTCTGTCCAGTGTGAATCAGTCCAGCTCACCAGTCCAGCCTGCCACCTCCAAGCTGTATAGTTATAGAAACTGTTACCCTCTTAGGTCTCCTCCTTTAGAAAATGAGCATGTAATAGCTTACAGCTGGGTTCTTACAAAAGCGATGGAATTAAATGTACTTGTGCCTTCTAACTAATTAGAAATAACGTGTGCCCGGCCAGTGTGGCTCAGTGGTTGAGCCTTGACCTATGACTCAGGAGGTTGTGGTTCAATTCCTGGTGAGGGCACATGTCCAGGTTTTGGGCTTGATCCCCAGGGTAGGAGGTATGCTGGAGGCAGCGGATCAATGATTCTCTTGTCAGTGATGTTTCTTTCTTTTTAAAAAAAATATTTTTATTGATTTCAGAGAGGAAGGGAGAGGGAAAGAAAGATAGAAACATCAATGATGAGAGAGAATCATTGATCAGTTACCTCATGCACGCCCCACACTGAAGATGGGCCCGCAATCCTGGCATGTGCCCTGACCGGAATCGAATCCTGACTTCCTGATCGACGCTCAACCACTGAGCCACGCCGGCTGGGCATCAGTGATGTTTCTCTCTCATCTCTCCCTTCCTCTCCGAAATCAAAAAAAAAATTTTTTTTTTTAAAAAAAGACATAACGGCCCTACCTGGTTTGGCTCAATGAATAGAGCGTTGGCCTGAGGACTGAAAGGTCCCAGGTTCGATTCTGATCAAGGGCACATGCCTGGGTTGCAGGCACATCCCCAGTAGGGGGTGTGCAGGAGGCAGCCAATCAATGATTCATTGATATTTCTATCTTTCTCTCTCCCTCTCCCATCCTCTCTGAAATTAATAAAAATATATTTTAAAGAAAGACATAACGTGTGTGATAAAATAACAGGAGACTTCATAATTTAGAACGTTTATGGCATTTTGTAATTTGTAACTATGGGATTATAAATATATGGTAAGTTAATGTAAACACACAAATACGTAACTATAAGGCAACAATACGCACGACTGCCACGCCCGAGCTTTCTTCCAGTGCATTACCAATACCAGTTCATCGCGTTCTCACAAGCCTATGAAGGGAGGAGGAGGACTATACTCCCCATTTTACAGATGACAAAACCGAGGCACGGGGACTAAAGCTTTCAAAACTAGTCAGAGGCCGAACCAGGATTCGATGGCAGTTCAATCTCTGCCCCTCACGCTCCCTCCCCGTCTTTGCCACACACCGCCCCACCCCCGTCAAGATGCCCCTCCGCGAGTTCCTGGGCTCTTCGTACAGCCCGGCGCCTCGCATTACCTTTCTTCCCCTTGAGCTGCATCTCCGGTTCCTCCATAGCGACGGAGGCCCGTTCAGCTTGAAAACCGGAACCGGAAGTCTGGAGATGGTGACAGCTCCCTAAACCTTCCCCTGCGAAACCGCACTAGGCCCTGCCACTATTCCAGTACCCATTGCCTGCCCTCTCCGTTCCTCCATCTCTACCGAACCCGGAGAGGGGCCGTGAGTGAGAGACCGGGGAAGGGGCCACACCGGGAGGCAGGTGAGGAGGGGCTAGGACCCCATGCAGCTCCCGGAGGGACACCGTGGAAGGGAAGAACCCCTTTTCCAGGGGCGGATGCATTGGGGAGCGCTCTACACACCGCTCACTGCGGACCGTCGTAACGGCCTCTTTGCACCTCATGCCATCAAATCCCTGCACATGTTCATGAGCCCCCAAGACCCAGAGGGAGCACTGTTGTGGACGGAGACGACCATGGAGTCGCCCCTTTAAATCCTGGACGCCCCGCCTGCTCCCGCCCCCTTGCCCTCGAGGGAGAAAGCCCCGCCTTCCTGCCCCAAACTGGAGCCGATTGGCTTCTAACAGGCGCAATGAGATCCACTGAGCCCTCTGAGGCCCCGCCCACTTCTCTGACCCCGCGGGACTAGAAGGCACAGGAGCAACTGCACTGCTCGGACTCCAGCGGAAACCACGCCCCCTCCAATCCTTAAAGGGCCAGAAGCAGCTCCTACTGCTCCTGCCCTTCCGCACTTTTGGGGGGCAGGGTGCGCAGGCGCAGTGGGGGACCTCTGGGGTGGGGGTAGTGGTCGAGTATCAAGTTGCTCTCTGTCCCGGCAGAAGAAGCCAGAGCGCTGACCATCCAGGCTCCAGCTTGCTCCCTTCTACATCAATTGGAGGGGAAAAGTTTGTGAATTGGGCCTCCAAGTTTTGGGGGATCCGGGCTTGCGGCGAGGGGTGACAGAGAAGGTTCGTGGAAGGTGAGTGAACCTCCTGGATCGGCTTGGAGGGACGGGTGGGATGGAACCAATTAACATCTTTGTTGATCCTTCCGTCATTCCGGGGACCACCCTCCAAAAAAATAACCACAGCAAACATTTAAGCTCTGCCGGTTTCAGGCTCCCTGCTTAGCTATGTACAGATGTGACTTCTTTTAGACCTCGTTTCCCCGTGTTGTTAATGAGGATACAAGTTCAGAGTAGGTAAGGCACGTGCCCAAGTTCTCACAGCCTGTAAGTGGAAGGATTCCAACCCAGATAGTTGACCTCAGAGCCAGGACTTTAAGCAGTGACTGTTGGATGTGTCCTGGTGGTGGTGGAGAGTGGGCCTGAAGAGGAATTGGACTGTGATTTAATTTCCCTGCTGAGCCTGAGTTTATCCACCCTCCCTGTGCAAGGCCAGTTATGCAGCTGGCACCTAACTTCATAAGAATTGTTCATAAGTCTTGTCATCTCTCCCCTTTAGGGGCCTCCATTAGCTCCCCCCCACCCGCATGGAGCTCACCCAGCCTTCAGAGGACCTCAGCCTGACCCAGCAGCCTCCCACCCCAGAATTTGGGGAACCTGAAGACCCCAGGGATGAGGCCCAGGATGGCTCAGACACAGTGGTGCTCAGTCTCTTCCCCTGCACCCCAGAGCCTGGGAATCCTGAACCAGATGCTGGCGCCTCTTCACCTCAGGGTAGGTACTGCCTCGGGGGTGCAAGGACTGTGGAATGTCAGGCCCTAAATGGGGCCTCTGTTTTATGTCCCACCGCCTAGGGCACACATGTCTTCCTGCTCCACCCAGCAAGGGATTGCTTGTTTGTTTTTATTATGGTAAAATCCACATAACATGGAAGTTACCATTTTAACCAGAATTGCATATAATTTAGTGGCAGTAAGTACATTCACAGTGGTGGGTAACCCCAACCTCTATCTGTAATTCTAGAACATTTCCATCACTAGAAGGACCTAGGTCATGACTTCCACACAGCAGCAGGACCCTAGAGCTGCCAGTCTCTCAGGAGACTTGATGGCCTTGCCCCATTCCTTATTTAACATCTCTGATGACAGGCAGGGCCCAGGACCCCACTCAGGGTACTCTGAGAGCTGCCTTTTGTGATGAGCAACAATCTCCAAATTCTTCAGGTTTTCAGGAGATGACCCATTGATGTCTATGGGACATCCCCAGATTGGCCAGTGGGTCCTATAGCTTCCAGCTTCTCAGTGCTCAGCTCCAGTAGCATCCGTGGAGTGGAAGAGAGAGTCATGCAATGTCTTTGGTAGCTCTAAACCCCCAGGGTCTAGCTTGAAGCCCCAGAACCCTTCCTCTCTCTTCCACCAGGCAACTCCCTAAAGCACTCCACGACCCTCACCAACCGGCAGCGGGGGAATGAGGTCTCGGCCCTGCCAGCCACCCTGGACTGTGAGTGGCCCCTGTCCTTAATGGGGGGGGGGGGATGGGGTGGCAGGGCTGAGAGGAGCAACTTGGGACAGAAGCTAAACTGAGGCACAGAGCAAGGATGGGACAGGTGAGGACACTGCCTCTCTCTGGCCCCAGCCCTGTCCATCCACCAGCTTGCAGCCCAGGGAGAGCTGAGCCAGCTGAAGGAGCATCTGAGGAAAGGTGTGTGGCTACACCCATGTGCTTGTCTGACCTCGTGTGCTGGTATGTGCATGTGTGCTGTCATGACCTGTGAGTGTCCATGCGTGCCTGTGTCTATGTTTGTGTACAAGCATGGCCACTTGTGTGTATCCACATGTGTCCCCCCATCTGACCCCAGCTGCCCACCTGATCCCCGCTCCCACAGCTTTGGGGAGAGTGGGCAGGGGTGCAGCCCAGTGGTACCACCCCCTCCTGCCAGGCGACAACCTCATCAACAAGCCGGACGAGCGTGGCTTCACCCCCCTCATCTGGGCCTCAGCCTTCGGAGAGATAGAGACCGTCCGATTCTTGCTTGAGTGGGTGCGTCCCTGCCCAGCTGGGGACTTCCTGGGACTTGAGGGCGGCCAAGTCTCAGCTGAACCTGCCAGTGCCATGTCTTTAGATGTGGCTGCCATGGGGACCACCGGATTCCAGGGGATCTCCCACTCCTCCCATCACCACTCTCTCTGCTCCCCCCAGGGTGCCGACCCCCACATACTGGCCAAGGAGCGGGAGAGCGCCCTGTCACTGGCCAGCACAGGAGGCTACACAGACATCGTGGGGCTGCTGCTCGAGCGTGATGTGGACATCAACATTTACGACTGGGTGAGGCACCACATGCCGGCCCTGGGCTCCTTGCGGGGTACCAGGCCTGCTCTGGATGCTAAGAACACAAGACAGACTCCTCCCCAAGCCTCACAGATCTCCTAGGTTTGGTGGGAAGGGAGGGAGGGAGGAGCCAATAAATAAACACTCAGCTGAGATGTAGTGAATAATGCTGTGATGGCAGTCGCATAGGCAGCTGGCGATCTGCACAGCCAAGGGCAGTTCAGGGAGGGCTACCTGGAAGAGGGACATCGAAGCTGAGCCCCAAAGGAGGAGCTAGACCTGCCAGGTGACAAACAAGAGAAGGAACCCTCCCCCCCCCCCCCCAAAAAAAGAAGGACACATAATGGAGGGTGCTGGTGGTGTGAGATCCAGTAAAGGTAGTGCTGGTGCCCCTGCCCCTGACAGAATGGAGGGGACGCCACTGCTCTATGCCGTGCGTGGGAACCATGTGAAGTGCGTGGAGGCCTTGCTGGGTGAGTGGGAGTAGAGGCTGACCCTGGGAGCCCAAGAGCTCTAGCTGGCACTGCAGGAATCCCGAGGGCCAGGGAGGGGCCAGAGCGCTGCTTGAACAGATCTTGCCTGCTTTTCCCAAAGGACTGATCAGGGGGCAGGAGGTGGTGGGACACCACAGGGGTCTGGCCTCAGGGACCCTGGAGGTGGGAGTTCTGTTGGCCCCATTCTCAGGAGAGCTCAGTCTCTTGTCCAAGGCCACATGGGCAACCAACAGACCTGGGGCTTTGTCTTTGGGGGTCACTGGATCTCCAGAGTCCCATGCCCCATTCTGGGCTCCCAGTCCTCCCCTGCAGCACCTGCTCTGCTTTGTAGCCCGAGGAGCTGATCTCACCACTGAAGCTGACTCTGGCTACACCCCAATGGATCTCGCTGTGGCTCTGGGATACCGGAAAGGTCAGCCTGAGACACACGGGGAAGTGACAGGGCGCTGTAGGTGGGGTGACCAGAGAGGGTACAGGGGCATACCTCCTGGATACTGGCAACAAGAGTGTTCACGTTAGCAAACATTGAGTGCCACTGTGTACCTGACTTGGGCATGTGCTAGGCCTAGTTCTCAGGGGGCTCCCTATGATTTGGAGGTGGAGGTCAATGTGTCAGTGACTGAGGTCATGATGGACACTCAGGCACTGAGAGGCCCAAAGGAGGCCCTGGCCCCACCTCAGGATGGATGGGGGGGTCACAGTGGGCTTCCTGGGGACCAAGGGGGAAGGAGGATGGCCCAGGCTGGAAGAACATCTCATGCAGAGGCCTGGCAGGGTGAGGACACCCAGAGGGAGGGGGCCGGGTCACCGTGCACTGGGCCATGGAGGCCACTCTCTCTGAGGCAGGAAGTGGGTATAAGTAGAGACCCCAGTTTGACTCCTCACTTCTCCATTTGCTTCCCCATCCATGAACTGGGGTGATCCTAACAGAACCAACCTCTGAGGTCATGGGGGGATTGATGGTTTGGGAAACATCCCCTCCTTTCTTCAAGGAGTCTTCCATTTGGGACAAATCAATCTTCATAGCCCTTCTTGTCCTTTCATACATATAACAATTCACCAATTTTGTTTTGCAAGGAATATTTTCATAACTCTGAAATGCCTCCAAAAACATTTTTATAAACTTAGGGGAAACGGAGGTTCCTGGGACAGGGGCCTCAGTCTCCCCAGATGTGTCCTGGGAGGGGTGTGGATTTACCTATGTACGAAATCCATGTCCCAGTGCGGGGAGGCCCCTGTTCGTCCCCAGAGGGAAGGGTGTAGTTCTCAAGGTAGTAACCCCAGGGGAAGGCAGGGTGCAGGTGCGCGTGTTTCTCTGTGGTCCCAGTTCCGTTCATGGCCCACGTTTTCCTTGTCCTGTTTCCAGTGCAACAGGTGATCGAGAACCACATCCTCAAGCTCTTCCAGAATAACCTGGTGCCCGACGATCCTGAGTGAAGGCCACCCACCCCACAGGGACTCAGACTCTCAGGGAACAAAGCGGTCGACCCAGAGTTGGGGGAACCCAGAACTGGCTTCAAAGGCAGCTCCTGGACAGATGGTGGGAGGGATCCTTCCCAGCAGAAATCAATAAACCTGTGCAGAACTTGAAGGACTGTGCTGTGCTGCCATGAGGGTTTCCTGGAGGCGGCGGCTGCCCAGTGGCCTCACACCTTCTCCCCCAGCACTCTCAGGTGGTAGATGACCACGCGGCCAAAGAAGTCAGTCAGGTCCTCAAATGTTACCTTCAGCTGGTCCACTTCAGCAGCCGGTACAGGAAAGGTGTGAGCATAGCAGTCAAGGGAAACGGCTTATCCTTTAACTGTCTGAAACCCCTACCCAGTCCCGGGTCTGACGTGCTGTAGGTCCCTGAGACTCACACAGAATAGATTACCATCAGCCCATTTCACAGATGAAGTAATGCAGGCCTAGAGGCCGCTTGCTGGAGGTCCCACACGGCCGGCAGCTTTCAGAGGCACAGACCACCCCCACCCCAGAGGCCCGGGTAGGATATCTGAATGGAGTTGTTGTCTTCAGGGTAGAAGTCCACAATCTTATTGAGAGCCTCACTCCTCTGAGAACCTGCAGCAGGGAGAGAGGCAGACTGTGAGGCCGGGGTGTCCCCTCCGACCCCTTCTCCCCCTCTTCCAGGGCTTCCCAGTACCTTCTAGGCAGCCCCGGCGACTGGAGAAACCCCCCTGGAACTGGATCTGCAGCTGGGAGACACGGATGCGCTGGGGGAACTCTAGTATCACCCACTGGGAGGGGCCCTGGAAGCAGACAGGGAAACTGAGGCCCAGTCTATTCAGGCTCAAAGCAGTGCTATTCTCTCTCTCTCTCTATTGGTGGGGGCAGGATTCAGCACATGTTCCCTCCTGGCCAACCCGACTGAGCCCAACTGTGGTGCCCTGGAGTTCTCAAGGCACCCTGGACCCCTGAATCTGGTTCACACAAGGGGTGACAGGAGCTCACCTGGTCCGAGTTCCAGCACGTCTCCTCGTCCTGGTCGAACAGGTGCTTCTTTCCAAACTGCCGGGTGTTGCGATTCAGAACCGAACTCACCCTGGAGGCACCAGAATCAGGGGGAGGAGAGGAGCTGGACCCAGCCCACCGGTCCGCTCCTCCTCGCCACCGGCTTCACAAACCCCGTGCTCTATCCAAAGAGAGCTGCACCCCAAGCTGAGGAAGGGACCCCTACTGCCCGCCCCCACCTCCTCAGGCCTCACCTGCTCACGGTGTCTGCACAAACCAAAGAGTGGGTCATTTTAGCTCCACGAGACCTCAGGGTTCAGAGTTGGGCTCAGCACGGGTTCGAATCCCGCGCCAGCGCAGCCACAATAGCGAGACAGTCCACGCCTCTGAGCTGGAACGTCCTCGCCTGCAGCACTGGACCGGAACCGGCACCACCCACCCTTCCCAGCCCTAAATGTCGCCTCGATCACCCCCTTGCCGGAAAAATTGGGGATTTTGCCAATGACTCGAGACCAGGGGTTTGTCCTGTGGGTTTGGGGGGCGGTCGCTCCGGCTCCGAGGCTCTGTTTCTTTGGAAAAAAAGAACCAAAATCTGGACCCCGGAACCGCGCGGAGACCGCGCAGAAGCAATGAGGCTTCGGCCGCGGCGCTGTCGTTCCCGGGGCGGGGTTTGACTTCAGCCCCGCCCCTGAGTGCCCGCCTCTTAAAGGGCTCGCGCCCAGTGATTGGGTTAAGGCGGGCACCTAAAAACCACTGTATGTGGGACACTGTCCTTTGGTTCCCCTCAGGTATAGAGCACTGGTTTTGGAAATCGAGATACTTCTTATAATGATGTGATTCTATCTGGGGAAGTCTGCCAAATCCATCACCATCAGTGTTCTCAACCTTCTGGCCCTTTAAATACAGTTCCTCATGTTGTGACCCAACCATAAAATTATTTTCGTTGCTACTTCATAACTGCAATGTTGCTACTGTTATGAATCATAATGTAAATATCTGATATGCAGGATGGTCTTAGGCGACCCCTGTGGAAGGGTCGTTCAACTGCCAAAGGGGTCGCGACCCACAGGTTGAGAACCGCTGTGACCTAACTGCTAATGCAACCTGGAAACCCATGTACCTGACTGCCTCCCAGAAGCAAAGGAAGAGGTCATGATATTGCAGGTACAAGAAGTCTTCATCAGCCGAAACCGGTTTGGCTCAGTGGATAGAGCGTCGGCCTGCGGACTGAAAGGTCCCAGGTTCGATTCCGGTCAAGGGCATGTATCTGGTTGCGGGCACATCCCCAGTAGGAGATGTGCAGGAGGCAGCTGATCGATGTTTCTCTCTCATCGATGTTTCTAACTCTCTATCTCTCTCCCTTCCTCTCTGTAAAAAAATCAATAAAATATATTTAAAAAAAAAAAAAAGAAGTCTTCATCAGCCTCATGTGTCCTGGCTGAAACACAGGAGGCCGGGCCTTCAAATCTGTCTTCCCAGTAAATGCTGCCTGGGACAGGCTTTTTGTAGGAGGGGGCATGTGAAGTGGGTTTTGAAGGATGAATAGGAGTTTGCCAAACCAGATACCAGGTTTGGCAAAGCCTCAGATACCAGGCTAAAGATCTGGTTCACTGATTCACTAAACAACTTCCACTCCCTACTGCCCACCCCTGTGTTGGATGATGCTAGGGACTGTAAGAGGCCTCAGTTCCATCCCTGCACTTGATGAGCCCCCAATCTGGGTAATACAGAGCTACACACACACACACACACACACACACACACACACACCCATAGGGCCAGGGCTGAGCCAGGGAGAGAGATAGTGCTAGGATAGCAGGGGTAGGAGAGCTTCCTGGGAGAGAGGGTATGGGGTGGGTAGGAATTCACCAGGGTGAGAAAAATCTGGGGGCTTGCGGTGGGGAGGTGTAGGGTCCAGGCAGGAAGAACAGTATAACCAAAGACCATGAATTTGAATAAAATATGTGGAGCCAGATCCTGCTGAGCTCAGAGCAGTCACAGAAGGTGTTTGAGAAAGGGCAGGACACCATCTGATCTGCATGAATGGAGGGTTCTGAGACAGACCAGCCCTTGCCAGGAGGCTGTGGTTCCTGGCTTCCACTGAATAGTCTGGGGCCCAGCCCCTTTCTTCAAGGGCTGGGGGAATGGTCCTCCTGGCATCCTACTGGTGTCTGCCCACGCCTGCCCCAGGAGGGGGTGCTGGCTGGGAAACTGGGACACTAGTGGAAGGGCTGCCCCATCAGCCCTGCCTGCCAGGATCTCCTGCATTCAGTCATGATCTGGTGCCATCCAGACTTGGGTCTGCTGGTCTCAGGATCAGAGTTGGACGTGGCAAAAAAACACCTCCCCCAGAGGAGGTTAGGAAGAGCATGGACCTTGTAGGGTCCAGTTCAAATCCTGGCTGGCCCCTCATAAACTGGCTGTGTGATTGTGGACAAGCATGTGGACCTCTGAGCCGTCTCCTCACCTGTGAACTGGAGGAAATTCTGTTTCTAGAACTGCTGGGGAAGTTAGTAGGCTCTTTAGGATGACATACGACAACAGTGACCTTTGTTGAGAACTCACCCTGTATTTATTTATTTTTAATATATTTTTATTGATTTCAGAGAGGAGAGAGAGAGAGAGAAACATCAATGATGAGAGAGAATCATTGATCAGCTGTCTCCTGCATGCCCCCTACTGGGGATCGAACCCGCAACCCGGGCATGTGCCCTTGACCAGAATCAAACCTGGGACCCTTCAGTCCACAGACCAAAGCTCTATCCACTGAGCCAAACCAGCTTGAGCTCACCCTGTATTTAACTTGAAGTAACGTTTCATCTGCATCCACTGGCTCATTAAACCTGCTGTGCTAGTCCATGTCACCTACATTTTACAGCTGAGGGTACAGCCACTGGGGCCAAGGATATGCTTATCCCAGGGCCCTCCACACCACTCCTGGTCTTGGCATGGAGCCATCTTGCCCACTGGGTTGAAGCCAGCTCATACCCTCTTCCCACCTCCTCACCCCACTGGCGCCTGGGCATGAAAGAGCTTCCTGTTTCTCCAAGGAATTACCAGCTGTAAGCTCCCAGCAGGGCAGCCAAAAGTGGTCCATTCATTTGCCCGAGTGAGGAGAGACTGGGCACTCCCTCCCCCTCCCCCTAAGGGATGGAGCAGAGGGCACTCTAGAAGAACCAGGCACTGCAACTCTGGTCGCACTTCTCAAAAGTTTGTTATCCTTGAGCAGGGCAGGGAAAGGCCCTTAAATAGCTCTGAGCCTTGGTTTCCCCCTGGGGAATAGGTTGAATGGCTGTCCCAAGGCCCCAGCCTGGAGAGATTTGAGGGTGAGTGTGATGGGGTCCCTGGCCAGCAGCACCCTAGGGACAGGTCTGAGTCTGATTTATTCGCTGGGGTCTGCCTGGGGCCAGCAGGGCTGGCTCAGAATAGACAGATGCTCCCTCAGTGCCAGCTGAACTTGTCAGTTCTGACAGGATGTGAGCCTGGGAGTCTGGGTAAGAGGGGGTCACAGTGGCAGTGGGAGGAATGGCTGGGCGTGAAGGGACTGAGCTGAGCTCATGTGGGAACCCCCTGAGCCATGACTAGGGTGAGGTTGAGTGGATTTGCTGAGTGTGGCCCTGGGAGGACTGTATGTCTCCATGTTGGTGACATGGTGCCAGGTGATCATGATTGGGTGCTGGCTGGCTGCAGGTGTGCCCACAGCTATAGACATGGCTGAGTGTGAACAACACGGGACAGACGTGAGCTGTCTGTGGCAGCCAGGAAGGCTGAGGTACAGAGGTGTGTGGACACAGTGGGTGTTTAAGTGTGAAGGACTCTAGATGGGGCCAGACTCATAGCTGTGAGTGGCTGTGCAGCAGGCATGACTTGTGTATGGCACTGGGAGGTTGTGTGTGGCCGGTGTGACTTATATGTGGCCTGTCAGGTGTGGTTGTCTATGAGCCCTCTGTGCAGTCACTGTGTGTCTGGGATGTGACTGTGTGTTTCGGTGGTTTGTGACACTGTATAGGATAGATGTGAATCTGGTTTCATGTGCCCTATCTGTATGTCACCTTGGGTATGTTGAGAGGCACTTGGGGGACACTGTCCACCCCTGAGACCCAGATCTTTTGGAGGGTCCAGCCTGCTCTGGCCCACCAGCTTCCTCCTCTGCTCCCTGCACCCACTCACAGCAGCCCTTGGCCTGGGGCCCCAGTGTGGGGGGGACCGAGAAGGCACTCTGGGCTGGGGGATGGCTCACCCAATCCCAGTGCAGGTCTATAAATAGAATAGCTCTTTCAGCCCAGCGGATTCCCAGGCAAGGTTGCCTCATTCAAGCCCCCGGCAACAGCCCACCCCTGGGCCCCTGGCCAGCCCCTCTAAGCTCAGCCCTGGCACCAGCCAGGGGGCCCATGAGGTGGGCAGAGGGGGAGGGAGTGGAGGAGTGGGAGAGTTAGAAGTGGGGGTAAGTTTGGCTCTGAGGCCACAGACCTGGGCTCCCATCTGACCCATACTGTGCAACCATAATCCTTCCCCCTGAACCTCAGTTTTCCCAGCTGGAAAGTGGGCAGCAGCATGATAGCAGCTGCCATCTTGTGTATTTACTTCCCATCTCATCCCCCTAGCAACCCTGTACAGTAAGGACTCTTAATTATCCCTGGTTTAGACAGGGAAGTTTTTCTAAGCTGAGGCATAGAAAAACGAAACGGCTGATCCAGAGTCACTCTGTTAGGAGAAGTGAAGAGGGAGGGATTTGAATGCAGGACTTGTGGAGACCAAGCTGCCTGCTCCCATGCAGATCACACGACCACACCCAGACCCCAGGCCCCCGCCGCACTCTGTCACACAAGCCTGCCACCTGCAGGCACATCAGCATGATCCCTGACCTCTGTGATGAGGAGTCAGACAGCAAATGACCATCCACCTCCAGCCTGGGGAATTGACACAAGAGGAAGCCTGGGCGATCTTGCCTCCCAGGGGTCTTCCCTCACCCTTCACTCATTCCCACCACCACTTTGGTAATTTAGCTGAAAACATCTGTTTGTCCCCCCCACCAATCTGAGACCCATCCCCAGAGATATGAGAACGCACATACATAAACACAGACGCAGGACTCTTGGTGGACACACAGACCCTCTGTCCAGTGCAGTCCGTTGTCACTCCTGAGAGACTAGGACCATGGGAAGGAAGGTAGGGGAAGGGGCTGACCTCTTTAAGTTTTTGTCCCCCTTCATTTCCATTTTTTTTTTCATTGTGGCAAAATACATAGAACATAAAATTTACCATTTCAAAGTGTACAATTCAATGGCATTGAGCATATTCACATTATTATGCAGCCATCACCTCTGTCTAGTCTAGAACATTTCATCATCCCAGAAGGAAGACCCTGTACCCATTAGCAGTCACTACCCATCCCTCCTCCCCCAGCCCCCTGGTAACCACTAATCCACTTTCTG